CTATAAACAAGGATGTGCATGTGTCTCTGTAGAAGGACATAGAATCCTTTGGGTGTGTGCCCGGAGTGGTGTAGATGGGTCATATAATATACACACTTCCAGTCGTTTGAGGAAGTTCCACACTGATTTCCAAAGTACCTGTACCATTTTGTACTCCCATCAACAGTACACGAGGGTTCCCTTTCCCCATACCACGCCAGCCTTTGTTTTATTAATCTTAGCTTTTCTGGCTTGGATAAGATAGGAAATCTCTTTTTGTAAAATATTTTGTTTACTACTTTTATTTTATGTGTATGCGTGTATTGCCTACATGTAGGTAAGTGCACCCGTGTCGTGCAATGCCCTCAGAGGACAGAAGAGGGTGTCAGATCGTCTGGAACTGGAGTTAGGACAGTTTTTAGCAGCCATGTTTGTGCTGGGATTCAAACCTGGGTCTTCTGCAAAAACAACCAGTGCTCTTGACCACTGAGCCATCTCTCCAGCCCCAAGATAAGAAATCTTAAAGTAATTTTAATATGTATTTCCCTGATACTGAACAATTTTTATATTTCTTAACCATTTGTATTCTTCTTCTCTGAGAACTCTGTTCAGCTTCAAAGCCTACTTTTTTCTTTCTTTTTTTAGCTTTTAAAATCTCACACATTTCCCACTCAAATCCAGACCCCCTCCCCGATCCATGCCTCCCCCTACCCCCCCCCCCAGTCAGTAAACCCTATTCACTCTGCCATATATGCTGAGTCCTATTCATTCAGGTGTTTGTACCAAAATGTCCTTCAGTGTAAATGCTTCCGCTGGAGTCTAGTCCTCCCATCCAGTGGTCGTACATAAGTCATACTCTCCCTCACCCAGCAGCAATGAGTCTCAAATAGTTCTCAATCTAGTCCTGGCCCACCACCTATTTCTCACCTCCCCTTGGGCCCTTGTTTAATTGAGCTGACATGGGTCCCATGTTTGACACCACCACTGCCACAGGCTCACATGAGCAAGGCTCCAGTAGCCTGGAAGCCTCATCCAGTGGTCGTACATAAGTCATACTCTCCCTCACCCAGCAGCAATGAGTCTCAAATAGTTCTCAATCTAGTCCTGGCCCACCACCTATTTCTCACCTCCCCTTGGGCCCTTGTTTAATTGAGCTGACATGGGTCCCATGTTTGACACCACCACTGCCACAGGCTCACATGAGCAAGGCTCCAGTAGCCTGGAAGCCTCCACTTCCTTATGTTCATGACCCAGCCCTGGCTCTTACAATCTTTCCACCTACTCTTCCACAAAAGTCTCTGAGCCAGTTGTGGCCTTCTGTGTGCATCGCACTCTGATGTACATGGAAGCCTCACTGGTGAGAGTTGAGGGGTGCATTAGTCCTCTCTCTATCCCTTATTCCACTATGTTCCATGGGTCTTAGTTTTAGAGATTTGACTGCAGATGTGTCACCTAGTACTGGGCATCTCCCAGGAAAATGTTCTCTGTGCCTTACCAGATGTGCAACCCTGCAGTAGCCTCCATCTGTTGCAAAAAGAAGCTTCTTTGATGAGTGCTGTGCAGCATGCTTGTCACTCTAAGGGAGGTCTCTTCTATCTGGCACTGCATTCCCTGAAAAGCAGCTCCCAGGTACACCTATGCATTAATGTTCAGACACTCTATGTGCATTTCTCATAGGTTTTCCCTCTAGGATTCCTAGCCCCTGAGATTCAATAATCTCCACTCCTTTTTCTCCCATCTGGCCTCCCTCCTCCATCCCTCCCTAGTCACAGTGCCCCCATTATCCCCACCCTCCCTCCAATACCTCCCACCATCTTTCCTCTCCTGACTTCTCTCCCTCCTCCACACCATGGTCCCTTGTGTGTCCCCCCTCTCCTCTTGCTCTTACTCCCACTTTTTCCACCTCCCTCAGGTAACATCTTTTTAACTGGATTTTCTTGGTGTTTAGATTTTGAGTTCCTTGTATATTCTAGACAATAATCATCTGTCAGATGTATGGTTGGCAAACACTTTTGTCCCATTCTGTAGGCTGCTTTTTACTTTACAGTTCCTTTTTAAATATATTTTATTTATTATTTTTATTTTATGTGTGTAAGTATATTGCCTGCAATATGTATAAGTGCACCTGTGTTGTGCAATACCTGTGGAGGTCAGAAGAGGGCATTGGATCCCCTAGAACTGGAGTTGCAAATGGCTGTTAGCTGCCATGTGAGTACTGGGAATCGAACCCAGGTCCTCTGCTAGAGCAGTCAGTGCTCTTAACTGCTGGGCCATCTCTCCAGCTCCTATTACTTATCAGTTTCAACTTCAGTACACAGATTTTTTAATTTCATAATGTCCCATTTGTTGACTATTTAGTCATCCTATTTACCAGACAACTGGTGTCCTATTCAAACAGTGCTTACCTATGTTTATATCCTGAAGTATACTCTCTACTCTTCTAAAAGTTTCAGTTTCAGGTTTAACACTGAGATCTTTGATCCATTTGGAATTGATTTGTATACAGGGTGAGAGAGAAAGATTACATTTCATTTTCCTATAGACAGATAGCCAGTTTGACCAGAACCACTTGCTGAAGATACCTTTTTCTCCAATGAGTATTTTTAGCATCTTTGTCTAAAGTCATGTGGCTGTAGGAGTATGGACGTATATCCTGGTCCTCAATTATATTTCACTGATCAATACACCTACTTTTATGCCAGTACCAAGCTGTTTCCACTACTATGGTTCTGTAGCATAACTCGAAATTAGAAATGGTGTAATACCTCCAGTAGTATCCTCATTGTTCTGTATCATTCTGGCTACCCATGATTGAACGTGTTTATTTTTAATATCACTCATTACATAAGGAATTAATGTAAGTTTAGAGAAAAAAATAGTATAGAAAACAGAAAGTAACCAATTATTCCACAGGGCTCTAAAGTGGGCCAAAAATAATCCGACACTAAGTTTCCTACCAGCCATATCAAAGAGAGCTTAATATGTTAGAGGATTCATACTATTGGCTAAATTTAAAATAGGCATATATTTAGACCCATGGCTTTTTAACATATGAAATGAAAAAAAAGCCTTTCCTTCATGACTTTATGTAAATATGCACCACAACATACAAGGTACCCAACATGAATCTCTACCGCATTACATGGGGCAGTTTCACCTAACATCCCTAATGCAAATCAAGTGAGTTGGATCCACAAGAGCAATTGTACAAGACACCAAAATACTGGTGTTCATGTCTGAAACACAATTTGGAAGACATAAAATAATTGTCTATACACTCATTAACAGTCCAGCTATACCGAAGCAGTGCTGTGTGCATTTTTTATTTTAGTACTTTTAACAGTTAAAAGCTGAAGTTCTTTTTTTCTTTTTTTTCTTTTTTGTCTTTTTGAGACAGTCTCCCTGTAGCCCCAGCTGCCCTGCAACTTACTATGTAGACCAGGATGGCCTTGAACTCACAGAGATCTGCAGGTTTCCCGAGTGCTGGGATTAAAGGCATGTACCACCATGCCTGGCTATTGTAGTTGTAATTTTTGACAAGAGTGCAAAGTATAAATTTCAAGGCTCCTAAATACAGATTTACACACTCATTATTAACCTAGACAGTGAAGTTAGGACAATGAATAAAAAATTGGGAAGTCTAGATAAGACAGGTGCTGGAATAATGGCCAAGCCACCTCCACACAGAGTGCACCATACATGCAATCCACTCACTCAAGTTCAGTGTGGAGAAGGGGGGCAAAAACGATCTGTGGGTAAGAGCAGAAACTGTTCCAAATGAAGGTGTGGAAAGGATGTAAGTGGAAGCTGAGCTTCTGGAGAAAAGAACACAATCCCTCTTCTAACACTGATAAACAAGCTGCATTCTTATGCCTCTAAAAACAAATTTATATGAAAATAATTTGGGACACTAAAATTTGTTAATATCTAATTTTTTTTCAGCTTTCAGGATATGGCGTAAATATATTAAAGGAAATATATTTTGTACCTATGGTAGAGTCCATCTTTTAAAATACTATTTGGTACGGTGGTTTTTAAATCAGTGATCAAAAGGCCAACTCAGAAAACAGCTTCCACTTAAATACAAGAATAATGAAATTTATTAAACACATTCAGAGAAATTTGTTTTTGAAAATTGTCACATTCTCCATGGTAATTGAAGTCGGGCTTTGATTTATCTTAGTAATAGAACAATCTAAACTGAAATAATAAATAAACAATAAAATAGTACTAGCAGCAGTTAAAAACTGACTGAATTACCTATCTATACTGATGCTTTAGCTCAAAGTGCAAAGCTATAATATACTTAATAATAAAATGCAATGTTTCACCAGTGCCCACATTAAGATGAGAAATAAATCAAAAAGTCAAGCAAAGTAGCAGTGATTTCTAGGTGATATATGAAGTGTTAAGAACATATGCTTCCATTTACTAGGTTTCTTTATTCATCATTTTATTCAGAGAAAACTAGAAGATTTTTCCAAACCCTATTTGCTAAAATTCACTACTGAAAGCACAAGAGCTTTTAAAACACATATGGATATTTAGATGTAGGAAAGCCAAATGAAATAATAACCCCGAACATCTACATTCCCAATCAGAACACACCAAGATACCACAACTCTGCACTCCTCTTTGTAGCTTTCAGCATTGCGTGTTTTGCATATGTATGTGTAAGTAGTGTGCATGCATGCTATGCCCACCGCACCATCTCCCCAGACCTCAGCATCATGGGAAATATAGTACATTTAGAAAATTGCTGTATGCATAAGAAAATATCTATTATGATAACATCTTACTGTGTACATTAATGTCATATTTTCAAATTATATGTAGCTTTTCAGGTTGATATTTTAGGCTATCCCTGTCTGTAACTGATAGCAACAATAAGGACTAGATACGCAATAACATGAAAACACTGACTAAAAACAGGCATAAAAATAAGTAGCTACAAAGAGAAATACATTCAAATGATATGTGTAAAACAAAGTCATTTCAAGTATATTTTAAAATAGACATACTTATCCCAACCAAGAGCTCCTATTTCTTCAAGAAGACTTGCGCAGAACTTGGGAGGCAAAGGTTGTACACAGAACTCTTGTTTATTCTTTAAAGCAACTTCCTGTTGAAAGAAAAAATATTGTAATCAGCTGTGAAACACTAGAAAAAGAATTAACTGATTACAAAACAAAATGTCATAGTTTTCTTAGTGCCTAAGTACAGTATTCATCATTTTTAAAGTAAACCCAGGTGGTGGGGTTTTATTCAAAGATAGTAGACAACACCCAGGCATGGTCTGCCAGTCTCCATGGATTAATGGGGGGAGCTGAAACACGGCTATCAGAAGAGAAAAAGCATTCTAAACAGCTGAACAGAAGGACATTCCCAGGGCAGCAGCAGCAGGTGATACAGGAAGAACCCTTCACTTGGTTCTGGGAGCTCAGCACCACACTCCAAGACAGCAGAAGGGAGACACCATTTTTAAAAGACCCTCACTGTCTCAGTGGCCCGGTAACACAGGTATCACAAGAATCTACACTGAAGCCCAGTCAGCACAACACTGCTAGACTTGGAAAGCAAACTGAATCGGATCTGCACAGCACTCAGGGAGCTAAAAACCTGAGGGGACCAAAGTCCAGAGACACCAAGCAGCATGTGGACTATTTGGAAGTAACAAGTATTTGGGGGGGGGGGGCGAATATGGGGCTAACATTCCCAACCATAACCCTAAAGGCACACAAAGGTGTATGCAGCATCTGAGATACCACCTGTGAATCACCACCACGCAGGGAGGGGCCAGCACCTGTAAAGGCATCATCCAAAGATGACCCAGCAGTGGGGAGGGCTGGGCAGCCAATCACAGAAGAGCTCCAGGGTAAGACAGGGGAGTAAGGAATGCTCAGAGACTTGAGAATGAATCCTAAAGTAGGCCACTACTTTTCATATCCTAAAGTAACACACAGCTCTCACCCCACCACATCTATTCTTTTATTTACTACCCAATGTAAATTTAGCAGCAGCTTAACCTTGCTCTGTTCCTGCCCTATATCACTTTTTAAATTTTTCATTTCTTTTTATCTCGTATGCTTTTCTCACTCCCCTTCTTCCTCCACCACCACTTCCTCCTCCTCCTCTGCCTTCTCTTCCTCCCTTCCTTCCCCTTCCTCCCCTTCTCCTCCTCCCCCTCCTCTTCCCCCTCCTCCCTTTCTCCTCCTCCTCTTCCCCCCCCCCATTCTCCTTTCCCAAAGAACATGAACTGGCTTACTTTGCAAGGTCTCTGTGGTTCAGTGCCATGGAGGTGGGAGAGACCTATAGCCGACAGCATATCCTAACCTCTCTCTTTTCAATGTGCTTTTACCTAGAATTCCCTCCTCTCCACCCTTTTTTGTCCCTACAGCTTCTCACTTCCATTTACATTCCGTGCCTCTATTTTCCACTGACCCAATACTAATCTTTAAACTTAAACAGATGTTTTTTTCTTTCCTTTACCTTTTCACTGATACCTGGTGCACTGCACACTAATCACGTCTTTACTTTAGAAAATGATTGGCACATGGGAGTGACTTTTTACTTGATTTACATATTTTCACAGTAGGTTTACCCCTGGATAGTGACAGTTGTGGCATGCAGAATTATATTCGCGAGAGTACTGGGGATCCAGCTTGGTGCCCTGAATGCCAGGCTAACCGAGAAAACCACCTCAATCCTAGTAACTCTAATCCCCCTTGTGATGGCTAATCCTGGGTGTCAACTTGACTGAATCTGGGATTAACTGAAATGAAAGAGCTCTTCTTGATTGGATCATCTAAAGCTGGAAGACACACCCTAAATGTGGCTGTTACCTTCTGATGGCAGCCCTTATAAAAGGCCAAGGCAGAGGAGAATGCCGGGCATCTTGCTGCTGTAGACTGAAGACTAGCTGATCTTTTGGAATTTGTCAGACCTTCAGTGCCAGATTGGGACTACTGAGACACCCAGCCTCGTGGACTGAGACTGTGGATTCTCAGCCTCTCCAGTGTGGTGCAGCCATTGTTGGACTACTCGGACTCTGTCCTGTGAACTAAGCTGATAAATCCCTATACATATATATTCATTCTACCGGTTCTGTTTCTTTGGAGAACCCTGACTAATATACCCCTTAAATGTTACAAACCTTTCTACTGGAAGTAGGTGGCCTAAATACATTTTTTTAAAAAGAAATTCAACCAATGACCTAGTCCCAGTTGCACGCCTACCAACACAAAAACACAAGTAACAAGAAAAACCAAGACAACATGTCTCCTCCAAAAATTATGATACCAATGAGAGTGACTGACAAGAAATCCCAAAGAATTCAACAGAACAATTTTGAGGATGGTGAAAGAAATCAGAGCAATCACTGGAAATACAGTACAGTACTAGAGTGCTTGCCTCCCATGCACACAGCCCTGAGTTCATTCAGTACACAAAGGAAAGAGGGGGTGGGGCGAAGGGAGGGAAAGAAGGAGGGAGGGAAGGAAGAATTCAGAGGACACGAATGAATTCCAAGAGAACCTGGACAAAGGCAAAGCAGCTTCGTAAAGTAAGGGATTCAGCACAGGAATGCTGGAAGAGCCAGACCTAGATGCTGGAAATGAAACATCTGAGTGTCAAATAAAAACCCCGCGGAAACCTCAGCTGCAGAATGGATCATGGAAGGACAAGACAGGGGCTTGAAGACAAAGCAGAGGAAAGGGAACATTCAAAGACTTAATAAAATGCATAGCTGGAGCACGCCACATCGCTGGGACACTCTGAAAAGACCAACGTTACAAACTATGAGAAGGGATGAAGGGAAATAATTCTATGCCACATGCATAGAAAGCATTTTCGATAAAATCATAGCATAAAATTTCCCAAATCTGGGGAAAAAGGGGCTCCATCCAGGTACAAGAGGCATACGGGACACTACATAGAAAGTACCACAAAATAAACTCTTCATGTAAAATTAGAATTGTAACATTGGATCTATAAAACAAAAAGAAAGTATACTGAAAGCTGAAAAAAACACTAAGCTACATATAAAGGTAAACCCATCAAAATAACAGCTAATTTCTCAATAGAAAGTTGGAAATCAGAAAAGCTTAGAACGATGTATTTCAAGGGCTGAAAGACCACAGCTGCCAATCCAGACTACTATACACAGCAAAACTATCTGTCATAATTGAGGAGAAAGAAATTTTTCAATAATGAAAATAAGCTAAAGTAATTTATGATCACTAAGCCATCTCTACAGAGGATACTGGAAGGAATTCTTTGGACTGAAGATAAATATAGACACATCCAAGAGGCTATAAGACAGAATAAACCATGCTAGAAGAGTAGTTAAACAAACAAGGCTTAGGAAAACACCAAATAATCAACAAAATGGCAGGGCTCAATACCTGCATTTCAATAATTCTGAATTTTAATAATCTCAAATTTCCAACCAAAAGACACAGCGTTCAAAACCAGATTTGAAGAAATAGTATCCATCTATCTGGTACCTCCAGAAAAAACAATTGATCATCCATAGACACTATTGTAGGGTAAAAGAATGAAAAATGTATCCCAACGAAAGAACTAGGAAATGAGCAAGTGTCATTGTTCTAATATCTGGCAAAAAAGGATTCAAATCAAAGCAGCCATAGTGATAAAGAGGCCACTTCATACTAATTATGAGAAAGCTCCATCAAGAATAATTTACAAATCTAAACGTATACACACTACAACACATAAGGTCACAGACTAACCCCAACACAATAATAGTAGCTGATGTCAATGATCCACTCCCATCAACAGACAGGACAACCGGACAGAAAATTAAGCAGAGAAATGCTGGACTTAAAAGACAGCATACATCAAATATACAAAACATACATACATATACTGACCTATGAAAATTAAACAACTTAAATGCTACAGAATATACATTCTTAATAGCACATGGAACTTTCTCTAAAACATATCCTGTACCAAGACAGAAAGCAAGACTCAACAAATACAGGAAAACCGAACTAAACTTCTCATATTTTGACCAAAACGAAATAAAGCTAGACGTCAACAGCAAAAGAAACCACAGGAGGGACATAAACAAGGACATTAAACAACACAGTAATGAATAGAGAAATCAAGAAAGATGAACGAGTTCCTTGACTCCAGTGAAAATGAAAATACAATGCACCAAAGCCCATGAGATAGGATGAAAGCAGAAGAGAGAAGTTCACAGGTACAATGCCTACATTAAAAATATCAGAGAGCGCCTCTGCTTCCCTGGGCTGCAGAGCCTGCCAGCCTCGTTCCTGGACACTGGGGCTGACCTCTCGGACCGGGGCCACCATTACTTCCGGATCCCTTGCATCCAGACAGACCCAGTTCCTTCTCGAGGTCCTCAGGAGCTCTATGGGCCTGGTCCCACCTTCACCTCCCTCTGCTTCTCTGGGCTGCACAACCCTCCAACCTTTCCTTGGACACCGGGGCTAACCACTCGGCTTCCTGATTCTTTGAATCCAGACCAACCAGTTCCTCAGTGCAGTCCCCAGGAGCCCTTGGGGTCTCTTCCCACCCACATCTCTCTTTGCATCTCCAACCAGCTTGGCCACCAGCTGACCAAGACCAGAATCTTTCCTTGGCCCGGCTCCCAGGCCAGTCCAACCCCAAAACACCTGAGACCAAAATCTTTCCTGGAGGGATCCAGACCTGAGGAGAAAGCCTGAGAGCATCTGATCCTCGTCTGACTTGGGCCTCTGTGGGAACTCCTGAAGACAAAAGCAATCTGGCCACTCCAATATAAAATCAAAAGCTTAGACAAGCCAGTTTTCCATGCCTAAAAAGTACACCACAAAGGCACATAAAGTTTACAAAAAGAAGCAGAA